CCCAGCACCCCTGCCTCCCCCCCAGCAGAGGAGGAGGAGGAAGAGAGCGAAGGCCCTGGCGAGGCCCAGGAACGAAGCTTGAGCCCAGCCCCTGCCCCTTCGCAGACCTCGGAGGCGACCGCACAAGGTTGGGAGTGCTGGGCTGTTGGGTGACAAGGGGCATCGTGTGGGTGTGGTGCTAGGCGTGGGGTATGGGGAGGGTGTCAGAGGGCGGATAGGGTTAGGTGACAGGGGGTGTGGGTATGGGATGCTGAGGGGAACAAGGTGCCTGTGCATGGTGAGATGAGGGAGATATCTGGGGAGTGTATCCACGTGGAGGAGTATGGGGTGGGTACAGAAGGGGATGTGGTTTATGTAATGCCTTATGCAGGGCTGTAGGGTGGGTGTATTGGGGTTGTATCTGAGAATTGTCCCCAGCCATCTGAGGACATGGGGAGATGCAGGATTGGCAGGGAAGATGTGGGGCACCTGTTTAAGGGTGTGCAAGTACATAGAGTTGCTTGGGGAAAGGGGTGCTCTGGGGATGTGCTGGTGTGAAGATATTTCTCTTTATTGTAAGCACCCTGCACTGGAGTGTTGGGGTTACATAGGGGTGATGGGGAAGATGGGTACACAGGATGTGTTTATATGGAGTGCCCTGTGCAGGGATACGGGGGGCTGTAGGAGGGCAGCCTGAGAGCAAATGTGCCTCTGGGGAGCAGATCTATATGGGCTGGTGTATAAGGGTGCAAGGGGAGTGTATATGGGGGCAGAGGTGTGTATGGGAGTGTCCCAATAAGGGCTGCCCTGCAGAGGGGGGTGGGTGTCTGCATGGATTCCCTGAGGATGATGGGGAGTGTCGCACTAGGGAAATGCTGGGAATGGGGGCTTCGGAAAGACAAAGGGTAAATTGGGGTGTAGTGGCTGCATGGGAAAAGGTGTGAGATGTGTCTGTACAGGTATATTCTGGAGTGCACGCTTAGGGAGCGGGGTCCATTGGTGGGCTGTGTGTAGGATTCGCAGGGCTGCAGACACCCAGGTGGGTACCCGGTGTGTTTGGAGATGGGGATCTTGAAGCTTGCCTCATGTTACTGGGGCGTCACTGGTGACCCTGTAGCTGGTGTCAGGGTGCCTGGGGGACTGAGAGGGTTCCTGTCTTTCACTTCTCTGCCTCTCCTCACAGTCGCCGTGTCGGTGCCAAAGAAGAAGCGAAGGATGAAGGAGCTGAACAAGAAGGAGGCAGTGGGCGATTTGCTGGATGCCTTTAAAGAGGTGAGTGTCCCAGGGGTGTCTGGGGTTCATGCTGTGTCCCATCTCCTCCTGTGATGAACTCTGCTTTGTGCCATCGTGTCTGGGCCACTGATGCTCTGTGATGGTAATGAGGATCTGAGGCAGGGTGGACACTGGGAAGTGGGGTGGAGAGGGCAGGACCAGGCTCATGGTGTCACTGCTGTCCCTCTGCCTCCCGATGCAGTCTCAGACTGGTGACAGTGCCTCAGAGGCGGAGAACAAGCCCCCCACATCCACCCCTGCCAGTGAAGCAGAGGATGCGGCTCCTGCCCGTCCACAGGAAGAGTCGGAGGAGACGTGGGAGGAGAAGGAGGACAAGCTGGCCCCAGAGAAGGGCAAGGCTGGTGACCAGAAGTATCGCTACAAGGAAGGTGAGCCATGCCTTGGGACAGGCCTCTGCTGCCAGCTAACACCTCTGGGACCCAGCAGTGGGGAGGATGAAGGCAGCATGGTCCCACTGTCCTAAACCTCATGTTCTCCTCCCATCTTGTCTGCAAGCCTGGTATGGTGTGGGGGACAGAGGTCCCAGAGGTCCTGGCAGGAGGCAGGGAGCTGGTGGCCTTCTATGGTAGGGCCCCAGAATTTGTGGATAGGGGCAGAGCAACTGATATCATCTACCTGGACTTACACAAGGGGTTGGGCACTGTCCCGCACAGCATCCTTGTCTCTGAATTGGAGAGACATGGATTTGATGGGTGGACCACTTGGTAGATAAAGAACCGGCTGGACAGTCACACTCAGAGTTCTGGTCAGCGGCTCATTGTCCACATAGAGGCCAGTGACGAGTGGTGTCCCTCAGGGGTCAGTGCTGGGGCCAACACTGTTCAGCATCTTCATTGGTGACATGGACAGTGGAATTGAGTGCACCCTCAGCAAGTTCACTGACAACACCAAGCTGTGTGGGGCAGTCACAGCTGGAGGGAAGGGATATGCCATCCAGAGGGACCTTGACAGGCTTGAGAGGTGCAACAATGCAGACCTCATGAAGTTTAACAAAATGAAGTGCAAGGTCCTGCATCTGGGCCATGGCAATCCCAGGCATGCCTACAGGTTGGGTGGGGAAGTAACTGAAACCAGAAATGAGGAGAAAGACTTGGGAGTGACAGTGGATGAGAAGCTCACCGGGAGCTGCAGTGTGTGCTAGCAGGCCAGAAAGCCAATGGAATCCTGGGCTGCATCAAAAGGAGTGTGGTTAGCAGGTCAAAAGAGATGATTCTTCCCTCTGATCCTGTGAGACCCCACCTGGAATACTGTGTGCAGTTCTGGTGTCCTCAACATAAGGAGAACATGGAACTGCTGGAGCAAGTCCAGAGGAGGGCCATGAAGTTGGTAAGAGGACTGGAGCATCTCCCCTATGAAGACAGGCTGAGGAAGTTGAGACTGTTCAGCCTGGAGAAGACTGCGTGGAGACCTCATAGCAATTTTTCAGTGTCTGAAGGGCCTACAAGGGTGCTGGAGAGGGACTCTTATTAGGAACTGCAATGATAGGACAAGGATAATGGATTCAAACTGAAGGAGGGGAAGTTCAGGTTAGATATTGGAAAAAAGTTTTTCACTGTAAGAGTGTTGAGACACTGGCACAGGTTGCCCAGGGACATGGTAGCTGCCCTGACCCTGGCAGTGTTCACGACCAGGCTGAATGATGCCTTGAGCAACCTGATGTAGTGAGGAGGTGTCCCTCCCATGGCAGGGAGGGCTGGGGCTAGATGATCTGTAAGGTCCATTCCAACCCTTAAATTCTATGATTCTATGGTAGCATTGGGCTTTCCGAGTAAGCCGTGTCATGCTCACGGTGTACCAGGCTGGGTCAACTGTGCAGTTGTCTACATCCTTCCTCTCTGGTCTCTGTGTGGGTCCAGACCTACCATACGTCAAGGTGGAGGCTATGGGACAGGCCACATCAGGGTCTCCCTCTCATCCCCCACTGCAGAGCAATGGAAGCCACTGAACCCTGAGGAGAAGAAGCGATACGACCGTGAGTTCCTGCTGGGCTTCCAGTTCATCTTTGCCAGCATGCAGAAACCTGAGGGACTGCCCCAGATCACAGATGTGGTGCTGGACAAGGTTGGTGCGGACCTGGAAATTGGGGAAGCATGGGTGGTGGCCAGGTGGGGGTCTGGCTCCTCTTTGTGCCTTGTCAAGGCAGGGCAGGGACTTACCTGCTGTGCTCAGGGTCCTGTTGCAGCATATGCAACCACCTTTGAGCTTGGGTTTGCTGGGTGGGGGCACCTCTGGGGCCTTTTTTCCAGTTCCTTGTCCCGGCGCTGAGGCTGGGGGATGGATCCATCCCGCTCCTCTGCCCCCGGGCATCCTCAGCCCTGTGTACCTTCGCAGGCCAACAAGACCCCACTGCGGGCACTTGACCCCATCCGCCTCAGCGGCATGAACTGCAGCCCTGACTTCACCCCCTCCTTTGCCAACCTTGGCCGGCCTGTCATGGGCAGCCGGGGCCTGGTGAGTATCTCTTCACTCATGCCCCCTACTCCGCCTCTCCATGATGATCAAGCTTTCGTGCCACTGTGTCTGGGCCGCTGATGTCCATGATGGAGTTGAGGATCTGAACAGGCGGACTGGGGGCTCCCTGGGAGCTGGTCCAGGTGGTCCCAGAGCAAAGAGCTGAGTTTTCTCTCCCTTCACCAGCCCTCAGGGTTGGGTCCCCGTCGCGCCCAGCAGAGCCAGAGGAAGGAACCCCGCAAAATCATTGCTACCGTGACCCTCAATGAGGATGTCAAGCTGAACAAGGCTGAGAAGGCCTGGAAACCCAGCAGCAAACGTGCTTCCGAGGAGGAGGATCCTGAGAACATCAAGACGCAGGTGGGAGCTGGAGCGGGTGGCCAGTGGGAGGGCAGCAGGGGGAGTGTGCCCAGCTCTTGCTGACCCTGCCATCCTTACAGGAACTGCTCCGCCGTGTCCGCAGCATCCTCAACAAGCTGACACCCCAGATGTTCCAGCAACTGATGAAGCAGGTGATGGAGTTGTCCATCGACACGGAGGAGCGGCTCAAGGGTGTCATCGACCTCGTCTTCGAGAAGGCCATCTCGGAGCCAAACTTCTCTGTTGCCTATGCTAACATGTGCCGTTGCCTTATGGGGGTGAGCAGAAACTGGGGGTGTCTCCTGTCAAGTGGGAAGAGGTTTATTCAGGCACCTCAGCAGAGCTCATCAATGTGCAGTCCTTTTGTGTGGGATGGGGAAACTAGAGTGTGTGTGTGTATCATGGATCAAGCTCAGAGACTTAGCAGGGCATCACAAGGTTGCAGAATGGCTTTTCCCTGGTTTGAGCAGTGCCTCGGTCTTAGCTGGCCAGCGTTTGGAGAAGACAAGACTCATGTTCTTTTTCTGGGTTATGCCACTCCTTGCAGCTTAAAGTGCCCACAACAGACAAGCCCACAGTGACTGTGAACTTCCGCAAGCTGCTGCTCAACCGCTGCCAGAAAGAGTTTGAGAAGGACAAGGACGATGATGAGATCTTTGAGAAGCGGCAAAAGGAGATGGACGATGCCAGTGCTGTGAGTTGGGTTGGGAGGCTGCAGCTGAGGGCTGGTATGGGTGTCCTCAGGGTGGCTCTGGGCACTGAGCTGTCCTGCTGTGCTTTTCCTGCAGCCCGAGGAGAAGGCACGCATGAAGGACGAGCTGGAGGAGGCGCGGGACAAAGCCCGACGTCGATCCCTGGGCAACATCAAGTTCATTGGAGAGCTCTTTAAACTGAAGATGTTGACAGAGGCCATCATGCATGATTGCGTAGTGAAGCTGCTCAAAAACCACGATGAGGAGTCTCTTGAGTGCCTTTGCCGCCTGCTTACAACCATTGGCAAGGACTTGGACTTTGAGAAAGCCAAGGTACCCCTTGCTCTGCCCTGGCTTGCCTTGCCCTGCCCTTTTCTTTGGGAGGGATGTGACCGTGGTTCTGTTCCTCTATAGCCCAGAATGGACCAGTACTTCAATCAGATGGAGAAGATCATCAAAGAGAAGAAAACATCATCCCGAATCCGTTTCATGCTGCAGGATGTGATTGACCTCAGACGGGTAAGGCACATGGACTGCTATTGCCTAGGGACTGTTCTCTGCTGCTGGCCTGTGTCCTCTGTATGGCAACAATCCATGTGTCCCTGGGACAGGGGAGGTGGGTATGTAAGCTGTAGCCAGCCCCAGAGACACCATGCTAGTCCTAGCCCTTGGTTAGCATGGTAGCGTGGTAATGGGCGCACAGTAATTGGCAGCTGTTTAATGCAGGGGGGCTCTGGGAACCGAGCCTTTTTGTGCCAAAAGCTGCCACAACACTTGGAGAGTGATGATGACCGAGGCATGAGACCGGCCTGAGGCCGAGAGGGTGGGAGGTCTGGGAAGGGGGAATGTCTTTGCCTCCATCTTCCAGCCAACTCAGTACCCTCTTCCATCCTTCCTGCTCTCTGCAGAATAGCTGGGTGCCGCGGCGAGGAGACCAGGGCCCCAAAACCATCGATCAGATCCACAAGGAAGCAGAGATGGAGGAGCATCGGGAACACATCAAAGTGCAGCAGCTCATGTCAAAGGACAAGAGGAGAGGACCTCCCGGGCCATCCTCCGGTGGTGAGTGCCTGGGTTTGGGGGCACCTGAGGCTGCTGGGGGTGGGTTGCTACCACTGGACACCATTTGAGACCAGGCTGCACCTTACCACTGTTGCCCTTCTGCCCAGGGCGCAGTAGTCTGGTTGCAGACGATGGCTGGAACACGGTGCCCATCAGCAAGGGCAACCGGCCCATCGACACCAGCCGGCTAACGAAGATCACCAAGGTGAGGCTGGGGGGGTGCAATGTGGCAGCTGAGCTGGCTGCGTGGCCTGGATCCTCCCCCAGTGTTCAGGGCTGACTCTTTGTCTCCACTGCAGCCTGGATCCATTGACTCCAACAACCAGCTCTTTGCGCCAGGTGGGCGGCTGAGCTGGGGCAAAGGCAGCAGCGGAGGGTCTGGTGCAAAGCCCACGGATTCAGGTAGGCAGTGTGGGACTGGCTGAGTGCCATGGGATGGGGTAGGAGGAGGGATCCTTCCCCTAGCAGTTCCTGTACTGGGGAGGTGCCGAACTCTGAGACTTCCTTCTTTTCATGCCCAGCATCTGATTCAGGGCGACCAGCCACGAGCACCTTGAACCGCTTCTCAGCGCTCCAGCAGTCGACACCTGCTGAGAGCCCAGAGCCTCGCCGTGTGGTGCAGAGGTGAGAAACCAGCCCTGCCTTGGTGCTTGGATGTGTGGGAAGGAATCCCCCCAAATCAGGCCATGGTTGGTCAGTATGTGGGCAAGTTATGGTGTCTGGACTGGAATAATCCCTTGTGGCAAGATGGGACCTTGGGAGGGCTTGGAGTCATGGGTGAGTCCTTTTGGCAAGGAAGGTTGACCCCACCATGGTTTTCCACCCCACCATTTGGTGCTTGGGGGACCACACCTTGGGTGCTGGGTCCAGTCTGGGGGTCTTGGGATCAGATAGACATGGATGGGCTGGAGGAAGTCCTGTGGAGGCTGGAGCATGAAGTCCCCAAGGAGAGCTGGATTTTGGGGTTTGTTCAGAAGAGAAAGGCAGAGGGGGATTCACAGTCTGGAGCAGGAGGAAGGTGTGGGCAAGACAGGGCCAGGCTCTGCTCAGCTGTGCCAAGAGGTGGAGTGGAAGGCGAAGAACATGATTTGGAACAGGGGAGAAATAGGGGAAAGTGTTTTCCCTGAGAGTGGTGAAGTATTAAAAAAGGTGGGGATTGAAGTGGGACTGCCTTACCTTGTGGAGCTCTGCAGTCTAGGATGAGGGATAGGGTGGTGATGGGCTCTTTACCCTGTGTATGTCTTTTTCCCACCCAGGAGCAGCTCCAGCCGTGACAGGTCAGAGAAGGCTGGGGACAGAGGGGACCGGGAGTCACGTTCGGAGAAGGGCGGTGACCGTTTGGAACGTCCTGACCGGGGGGAGCGGGCAGACAGGAACAGGTCTGCCCTCACCAAGAGGAGCTTCAGCAAAGAGACAGAAGACAGGAGCCGAGAACGGGAGAAGCAGGGCGCCCCTGAGGCCGTGCGCAAGGCTGCTAGCATGACAGAGGAAAGGGACCGGAGCCGAGAGACCAGTGAGCTGGGGAGGAGCTGTATCCCAGGGTCTGACTGTGGCCTGTGGCTCTGCCTGTCCAGGCAGTGCCTGATCCTTGCTCTCTCCTTACAGTTAAACAAGAGCCAGCACCTCCTGCAACATCCACCAAGCCTGCACTGTCAGAAGAGGAGCTGGAGAAGAAGTCCAAGGCGATCATAGAGGAATACCTGCACATCAATGACATGAAGGTGAGAGGAGTGGGTGGCCTAGCACAGCACTGTATGTCCCCCACAGCATACCATATGCTTCCCTCTGTGTTAGTGCTGTTGGACACGGTGCCGGTGGTGCGTGGATGTGGAAGAGTGAAACCAGAGCTGGCTCTGCGGCAGTACTGACCCCCCTTTTTCCCTGCAGGAAGCCCTGCAGTGTGTGCAGGAGCTGGGCAGCCCCTCTTCGCTCTACATCTTCGTGCAGAATGGCATCGAGTCCACGCTGGAGCGGAGCACTATCTCCCGTGAGCACATGGGGGCCTTGCTCTGCCAGCTGGTTAAGGCGGGCACACTCTCCAAGGAGCAGTACTACAAAGGGTGAGAAGCTGGGACAACCTGGCTTTGAGTTTGGCCTTGCCTTGGGCTCAGCACTGAGACCTGCTGAGGTCCCTCCTAGCCGGGAGCGCAGGGACTGCTGGATGCCAACAGCCCCCTCTGCCCTCCAGGCTGCGGGAGATCTTGGAGATCGCAGAGGACATGGAGATTGACATCCCGCACATCTGGCTGTACCTGGCTGAGCTCATCACCCCCATCCTGCAAGAGGAAGGCATTCCCATGGAGGAATTGTTCAGGTGTGAGGGCTGTGCTCCTCTCGAGAACTGGCACTGGGGAGCTCATGGGGCAGGCAACTCAGCAAGTCTTTTGTGCCCCACAGGGAGATCACGAAGCCCCTGGTGCCCATTGGGAAGGCCACCACGCTGCTGGTTGAGGTGCTGGGCTTGTTGTGCAAGGGCATGGTAAGTACATGGGGCTTGCATGGGTGCACTTGGGGAGTGTTGCTTTGGGGACTGTCTGCCTGCTTGTGGCTCAGGTGGTCATGTGGGGATTGAACCTCTGATGGCAGGAGGCATCCCTTGCAGTGTCTGGGTCATGGAGATGGCATGGCCAAGCCGCAGTGTCCCCCTCCCAGGAGGTGGAGGGCATGGTGTGCTGATGCTGTCTGTCTGTCCCACAGAGCCAGAAGACCGCAGGCAAGCTGTGGCGGGATGGGGGCCTGAGCTGGAAGGAATTCCTGCCTGAGGACCAGGATGTCAACAAATTTGTTACAGAGCAGGTGGGGGCTTGGTAGTGGTGAGGGGAGTGGTGGGCCATGGGAGGACCCTGGGGGGGGTCCTGCTGCTGGCAGTCTGGTGTTCCCCTGTTCTGCCTTTAACATCTCTCTCTGCTTGCTCCCCCAGAAATTGGAGTACACGATGGGGGATAGCTCGGACACGCCGAGCCGCAAGGAGCTGACCTCGGAGGAGCTGTGCAGGCAAATGGACAAACTGCTGAAGGAGAACCCGAACAACCAAAGAATACATGACTGGATTGAGGTGAGGATGTGGGCGCAGTGCCTGCATGTCTGGGGGTCTCTCTCCTGCCTCCCTCCCCACCTCAGTCATCTTCCCTCCTTCCTCCAGGCCAACCTGAGTGAGCAGCAGGTCTCGTCCAACACGTTTATCAGGGCCCTGATGACGTCTGTGTGCCACTCGGCCATTGTCTGTGAGTATCAGGGTGAGCAGGAGCGGTGGGGGTTCCCCTGGCCATGCTGCCCCACTCACACCCTGTCCCCTGCAGTCGAGAACCCATACCGTGTGGACGCCATGGTCATCCGCAACCAAGCCAAGCTGCTGCAGAAGTACCTGAGGGATGAACAGAAGGAGCTCCAGGCACTCTATGCCCTTCAAGCCTTGGTGGTGAAGTTGGACCAGCCTCCCAGTGAGTGTCATGGGTGTGGGTGGGCTGAGGGGGTGGCTGGCAGGTGTGTCCCCACCCCAGAAGAGTGGCTGGTGGATGGAGAATGGCAGAAGCCCCTCTTTCTCCCCCCCCAGACCTGTTGCGGATGTTCTTTGATGCCCTGTACGATGAGGACGTCATCAAGGAGGAGGCTTTCTACAAATGGGAGTCCAGCAAGGACCCAGCTGAGCAGCAGGGCAAAGGGGTAGCTCTCAAATCGGTGACAGCCTTTTTCACCTGGCTCCGGGAAGCTGAGGATGAATCAGACAACAACTGAGCAGCAGCTGTGAGGAGGAAGAGGGGGAGAGAGAGTGGGGCACCCTGGGGACTGACTCCATCCCCTCCCACCCCCAGCCCCCTTGGACTTGCTGATGCCCGGGCTGAGGGACTTGCTGTGCCCCCTACAGCCTCCCTCTCTCTTTTTTCAGTTCTCCTCCTCTCCCTCCTTCCTCTGTCCTGGTTCTGTTTGCGGGGCCTGTACTAGTTTGTCACAATTAAAATGAACAGAAGCTGACGGAGGTGGCAGCTGCCGTGCGTCCCTTCGGGGACTCTCCTCACCCCTCTCCCAGCGCAGGCACACCAGGTCTCTGGGAGTGGGGCAGAGCACCCCCGGACTCATGTCATGAAGAGGGGGGATGGGATGGGGACATATCTCTCCCCTCCTCTTCCTCCTCCTCTTTCTCCT